TTAAGCAGCCACACTACCTTAGCAAACACACACTTTCTAATCCCGTTATGGTGGATCTACCAAAGAGACATGACAGTTTTCATTATTGCATCAGCCCCACATCCACTTGGAGCCTACACACTCTTTATCTGGGGCCTTTGGAGCTCATTCACCACACAAGTGCAGCTGAATATAACCTCTGCAGTTCCAAACCTCAGCATGCTACAGAAAAGCCAAATATGGAGCCTGTGAGAGGTGGGAGTCAAGGATTGAAATGATTGATTGGAATTATGGACTGGAATTGAAGAAGAAAATTAGATATTGAGCCCAATGTCTATAGACACAAATCTGTAAATATTATTGCAAAGTAATGTTTTATAGTTATAGCCATCTGGAGGAGAAAAGAACGGATATTAACAAGGCTGTATGTAATATTTTAATTTTTAATTAATTAATTAATTATTTTTAATGTCTCCCCAGATAACAAACAAAAGTTTAAACTGGAGTTATTCTTAATTAAAAATACTGATAAATGATGTGTAGGTTTCTATCCAATCAGAGAGCAGAATGAGGCCCTCAATTGGGTTGTCTGACTGAAAGCAGGTACAAAAAGTTTTTCCTTTCAATGCAGTACAGTGATAGCCTGTCCCTACCACACCATAGTACATATTACATCTCGTACTAAGGTCTGGAGGTGTTGCATTGACTCCGTGAACAGGTGGGAGGGGCTAACTCCTTTTGCAGATTGAAACGATTGGATCTGAGTTTACCGTGATAAATGTAGTGCGCCTGAGTCTGTCGTTAGTATTTAGCATTTAGCCTAGCTTTAGCCATCTCCTTTGCCGCTAACGGAGCCCGTGGGGAGTAGCGCCACAATCTTTACCAGCGATTACATTTGCTAAACATTCCTCTTGCTCCGGCTTCAGTTTCTTGATAGAACCAGACCGGATTACTTTACTATCGCATTTTTCAACTACAACCAAACAACAAACTACAACCTGCCCGTTCGCCACAAACTCTAACTACACAACACACTAACTAAACTAACTAAACACCCGCCTCCCGCGCTCTCTGATTTGTCGATCAAAATTCAACCGATTGTAATCTCTAACACAGGGACCAGACCCAGACGTTACATGCAGTGAGATCATGATTGAGCGGAGAGTACGGATGGATAAGACCAGGGTGGTACATTGATACTTCGGGACATTAATGGCCATTTATATACAGTTATCACAGCTCCTCACAGCAGCAGGAGAACGCTCCATTGATCTGAATGTAATTTCAAAACGTTCTACCGGTCATTATTTTCTATAACGGACCTCTCAAAACAATAATGACCGCTGCCCTTTGGCAACGCACTCTCTGCTTGTCTTTCAGATGCGTGGATAACTCCGCAAGTAGTTCCGGCCACTCCGGAGCTAACTACGCTCAATCAACACACTTAAATGTTAATCGGAGAATACTTATACATATACATTCTTCACACACGTGCACGGAGATTTTCAGAATTTTCTGGTCTTGTTTTCATGATAAAAATACCATTTATCTGCGTCAAAAAGCGATCATGAAAAACCCGGAAGTAGTTCTGGCCGCTCCGGAGCTAGCCACGCTCAATAAACAAAAATGCCAATCAATCAACGCAATTAAATGTTAATCGGAAAATGCTTTATACAAATACATTCTTAATACAAGTGCACGGAAGTTTTCAGAATTTTCCGTTTACGTTTTCATGACAAAAACACTGATGTAATGCAAGAAAAGGCGATCCCAAAAACCCGGAAGTAGATACGGCACATTTTCGGACACATTTGCAGAGGATGGAATTATGGATTTAGGTTACGTTTATGTTTGGGTCACTCACCGCTGATGTTCAGGATTCTGTGTTTAGTTTTCATACAGTTCCAGAGAGTTATAGTTTGGAAGTTGCCAGCCTAACTGTTGCTAGCATAGCCACGGGAAAGCCTTTGGGAACTATTTTATTTTCTTTCTTATTTTAAATAAACCTTTCGGCATTCCTAAAAGTGGACTTAAGTTTGTGTTGTGTGTTCTGTTGGTATAAAGCCGTATAATAAGCGGGATAACGGGATAACGTAAGCCCTGTCGGTATTTATTTTCCGATAATGACCTGCGTACTATACCTTATCCCTTACTTAATTTTCACACTTTCGGACAGACATAAACAGACGTACCACGGGTTTTAGAGCGAAGTTGGAGATCACACATTCCAAATCTCCTGATCTTGTGAACTTTGATCAATTGGGACACTGTTAAAAAGCCCAAACCATCAATAAATACAATTCGACTTATATGACTTCCTGGGTATCTTTCAGAGGCTGCTAATACGATACGTGTCTTGATAGAGGTGACTTTCAACTGAATACGATTCGTAATCAATGGAATTTTACAACTTGAGTATGTCGTGTGGCATCATCCTTTGCTTATGGTCCTTTTCCTCCACATGAATTTACCTTACAGACATTTGTGCTAAGAATAGTGAGAAAACCTTTAAATTTCCACTTCTCCAGGCCATTCAAGCCATGCTTTCAAACACAACCCATGCAGCGCTGTGGATCTATCTCCACACCGTTATTCAGGATTCTTACTCAGAGAATTGACAGTAAAATGTGTGGGTTAAAGCTCAGCCTTTGGCAAGTTTGCATCAGCCACAGAACAGCATACAATCACAACAAAACATGTCATCATTTCAATCAGCGGGAGGCGGGTGGTGAGTCCAGGTGCAGAGCCTTCTGATGGAACTTTCACATTAGCCTCTGCAGATGAACTGTTCTCCAAACCAACCGAAAAATATTTACAAGATGCAGGTTGCCATGGAAAGTGCATGTTTGCATCTTGTAAAGAGACACACCGTGGCTTTTTATTCTTACCATCTGAAGGTAAAAAATGTATTTACAGTATTTTTGGAGTTTTTTTCTTACTGGCTTGAGTGTTGTCTTACTTATGATTACACACACTGATTACACACACTGATTGCACACACTGACCTGTGTTTTTAACCCATGCTGAAATGAACGTTGTTGACCAGGACAACAGCAGAGGATGGCGTGTTGTTTGATCCATGGACACTTCACCACTTCTCACTCAGCACAGTGCATCCAGGACCAGAGAGAACCACTTTTTAATGGACTAGGGAAGACTTGTCATCCACATGTTGTTCATTTTACAACTTAATAATGGAAAGGGCAGTGCATGCAACAGCCAAAACTCTGATGGTAAGAGTTTCACTGACACAAACATGGCTCCACTGCTTTCTACACTGTCCTCCTGCATGGCCCTTGGTTTGACTTGTGGGTAATTTTTATAACCTTCTGCACCTGACCTACATCAATTACCACTATATGTGGTCGGATTGGTCACATTGAGCATGCCTCAGGAAAAAAAAGTCTCCAAGGGCGTTCAATTCTGAGTCGTTCAGACACTTCAGTCCATGTCCCTCAGTGTATTAAGAGATCCTTTATTCATCCCACAGTGGGGACATTTCAGTGTAGGCTACTCAGGAAGAAGCTCAGAAAATACACGTATTTTAGACACACCGGGTAAGATGCCACTGAGATATACGCGGTATAAGAACAATCAGCTTGTGAAAGTCCATGTTTAACCTCTCGCCAATGCCACCTCTCTGTTCATATTTATTCAGTGAAAATGCCGTGCGGTAACATATGAAATCTCTAAAAGAAAGTGGTTCCATCCCGTCGGCGTGAAGTAGGGGTCAGGGATTGCCCTTTAATCTGAAAAGACCTGAAGGACAAATGGCCCCACCCCCACAGAGCCACCGGCAACAACAGCTGGCTCCACTCTAAACTCCAGCTTCAGACAGCAGCAGACACATTTCTCACAATGTTCAGAAGGGGAAAACTACAGTCATCAAAATAAATGTGGTTAAAACGTCTCCACTCTAGTAAATATTACATTACATATTCATTTATTCATAATGCACCTTTCATAGAAGGTCACAACATGTCCTCTCCAATGTTTTTGGAGTGCATTTATTCTTCCATTCCTTTAACATAAGGTGATGACAGAAGTGAGACCCCATCCCCATTCAAGATGGTCGGACAGCATTGTACAGAATATCACAAACCAGAACCACGTGTGAAACAAGGGCAGGTGTTTTGTGGGCTTCGAATCCAGGTCGGAATAGGCCGTTCTGACCGGAGTTTACATGTTCTCCCCGTGTCTATGTAGGTTTCCTGCTGGGGTTCCGGTTTCCCCTGCCACTGAAAATATGTACAGTAGTTGATAGGGTGAATGAGTGAATGAGTGTGTGGTTGTGACGGATGGAAAGTCTCTGTCTCAAGGCTACACTATGGAGTGATGTGTTCATGAGCCTGCTACAGGAGGAGGTGGACCGGCTGGTGTCCTACAGGAGGAGATGGACCGGCTGGTGTCCTACAGGAGGAGGTGGACCGGCTGTGGACCGGCTGGTGTCCTACAGGAGGAGGTGGACCGGCTGTGGACCGGCTGGTGTCCTACAGGAGGAGGTGGACCGGCTGGTGTCCTACAGGAGGAGGTGGACCGGCTGTGGACCAGCTGGTGTCCTACAGGAGGAGGTGGACCGGCTGGTGTCCTACAGGAGGAGGTGGACCGGCTGGTGTCCTGGTGCAGTGGAAACATCCTGGACCTGAATACTCAGAAGACAGTGGAGATGATTGTGGACATCAGGAAGAGCACAGGCCAATACCAGGTCCCAATCTGATACTTTAATAATATCGTATAAACCAAATAATATCCATCAATCAAAGTTCTTTACATATCCTGTGTTATTATACAGTTTGCACACTATCCAAGTAAAATAAATAGTAATCAATCAAGCAACAACAATGAGCAGTAATTCTATCAATATTATGAATGAATGTAATTATTCATTAAGTTAATAAAATGGCTCAGTATACAGGGCAGGCCACAGTGCCACTGAGTTATGATCAGGAGGCGTCGGCCGTGTTTTATAAAGTCTGAAACTACGTGATCAAGGCCAATGATTAGATGGGATATCCTTACTGTTATCCTTGTACTTCAGTAGAATGCACCTGCGGACTGCCCTGACCCCCCCCCCCCCCCCCCCCCCCCACCCTCCATTGCACCCTGCACACATAAAAAAAATGACAGCCTTATTCTAATTTAAATGGTCAAAAAAATGTGTATGACTTGAATCGTGCGTGCGCTCTGATTGGCTGATTTGCGGTCTGATATTTTCCGATTTCTGATATATAAGCCGTTAATATCTATTTTTTAAAGGGAAGCTAAAATATGACTTCTCTCCCCTTTTGGCCATGTTATAGTACATGGCCCTTGTTATTTTCACAAAGACAAGGTGCGCTCAGATCTGCTTGTCACGGGGCCGGCTGGTCGCTGTCGTTCGCTGGTATTGTTCTGCGAGATCTACGCCACACGCACGCGCGCGCACGGTTTCTGAGACTCGCCCACCCGTCACATCTGATGGGTGTCAGTGCTTTTTTTGTTCTGCGCAACGCGCTCTGTTATCTAGTGCCGTGTTTGGTGGTGTGAAGTTGGTTTTACAGACTTTTCTTCTGCAATTTTCTTTTCTGAATGTGTGATATGTGTAGGATCTCACCTTCAAGCTATTTTTACTCAAAAGATAGAAAGATAATTGTATTCCAACATTGCCTGCAGAGGAGCGGAGCTGTAGGTTTCTCTGACACTGCCTCAAAGGGGAGGGGCATAAGGGGGGGCTGCTGCGTGGTACTATTATAGAGTCATTAATGATCATATTATAGAGAACAAAACAGGTGTCTAATTAGTGTTTGATGTCTACATTTGTGTTCCTTTAATTTAAAGGTTTTTTTGTTTCTGATTGGTACAAACATTGTTTTTGGAATTATATTTATTGAGATTATTTCATTTTTTAATTTGTGCTGACAAGGATATCCACGCTAAGTTACTTTGCTTTCATGGCATTCTTTTATTGTAATTTACCTTCCAGCACTAAAATCCACGTCTTCAAAACAGCCGGCCTGCCTGAATAACCAGTGTGGCCCACAGCGGGCTAGCAGCGCATGACGATGGGTGGGGTGAGGACGGAGGGGGGAGGTGAGGAGGGGGTGATGAGGGGGTGAGAGACGTTTAGGAGGGGGTGAGGGAGGGGCGTGAGAGGATAGGTGGTGAGGACGGGGTGTGAGGAGGGGGGGGTAGAGGACGAGGGTGAGGAGGTGGGCGTGAGGGAGGGGAGTGAGGGAGGGGGGTGCGGAGAGCGGTGTCGTGGAGCGGGTGAGGAGGGGGGTAGAGGCCAGGGGGGGGTGATGAGGGGGTGAGGAGGGGGGTCTGGTGGAGGAAGGGGGGGGGTGTGGTGGGGGGTGGTGGAGGGGATTAAAGACCTCCATCTGTCACAGTGTTTAGGTCAACAAGAGGAAGACATCATCATCAACAGCAGCAGCAAATGTTTACTCAGATGACCTCGGCTTATGTTTCCACTCATGCAGGATATTCAACTATTCAATTTCTCTACTAATAATACTTATACTGTAAGAGCAGAACTCAGCCATTTGATGACTCAGAAGCTTCTACAACTTTTGATATTTATTACTTTCAGTGACTGCATATAGTACAGCCAAAACAAGATTTTTACCGTGAATCAACTAACATGTAGCCTTTGAATGGGTAACTAGGTTAAACGGGTGACAAGGATTAGATATAATATTTTGAAGACTGGTGTGGTTCATTTCTAAGCTTCTTCTGGATGTTACCACGTCCACCACCACGGCTGTCCTCTGCCCTTTGTCCACCACCACGGCTGTCCTCTGCCCTTTGTCCACCACCACGGCTGTCCTCTGCGCTTTGTCCACCACCATGGCTGTGCTCTGCCCTTTGTCCACCACCACAATGTCAGGTTGGTTCATTACCATTCGGTCGGTCTGTATCTGGAAGTCCCACAGGACGCTCATTCTCCACCACCTTTGGAGGAGTTTCTTAGACCTTGGGGTTTCCAGCCCATACTCTGCACAGATGGTTCTGTACACTATGCCAGCCACTTGGTTATGGCGTTCCATGTAGGCCTTCCCTGCAGCATCTCCTGCAGTTATGTGTTGGATCGTCTCAGGTGCCTCTTTGAACAACCGACACCTTGGGTCTTGTCTGGTGTGGTATATCTGGGCCTCTGGGAGTTTGAGAACCGGAGCAGCTCAATTATGTTATGTTTCTAATTGGAGAATAAACAGCTGGTTTTACACCATGTCTGCCCACAATACGACACACTCTTTAACAGGACACACAAATTGGAACATTGGTTTCTGGCAACAATCTTTCCAATGACCCAAACATGTTTTCCTGCTGTTACCGCTACATTACTCTTGGTTTCCATAGATGCCGACGTGAACGTGAACATGCATGTGCTCCATGAAAACACAATCATCCTCAACACAGTCTTTTACCTTAATTCCAGTTATTAGAAGTATTGTACTAATTTTTGGATATTGTTACGGCCCTGGGCCTAACTCAAACTCAATATAACAAAAGGGGCCTCACTCAACAGGCTAGTCTAACAAAAGGAATGAAACAAAAATAGTCTATTCTGTGATATCTAAAAAAGTAGAGTACAAAACAACAAGAGCCACAACTGTTAAACGAATGAATAACAAAAACATCTACGTGTTGCAAATGTACAAAACACCAGACTCGGCGAACCAAACCTCCAACACAGAAACAAATCAGGCCACCACATGGTAGCTCCTGGCACCGGAGAGAGAGAGAGTTTAAATACTCCCTCCTTCTTTCTAATTGGCTGCCAATCCACCAATCATGCGCCATCCTCCTCCAGGCCACGCCCACAGCACCTTCACAAAGAAACAGAAGGGAGCAGAAGGGAGAGAGCACGTAACAGATATAATCGTTTATCTTTAATCAGATTATTAAATGTGACTTTTAGAATAAATCATAGAACCTTTTGAAAGCTTGTGAAGACAATTAAGACATGAAATACCAAACACAGCTGCACATCTGTCAAACTCTCCTTTTTAAAACCTCAGGCTGCCGTCGTTATCATCACTGCATATGAAGCCTTTTCTGTTTCATTTGTAAAGTGTGATACTCGTGTGAGGAGTGTTACTCTTTCCTCTGAGCAGGAAAATCAGGCAAGAGGAGAACACTCTAAGTCCATCCATCCATTTTCTACCCCTTAATCCATTTCTGGGTCAGGGGGGTCACAGAGCACCAGCCCCTCACTGACCCTCTACAGGTGCTGAGTCCACAGGAGGCTGCTCTGTCAGTGAGAGCACAGCCTTGATCTTTCGGCGAGGGCCTCGGGTAAAGTCGGGTTAAGTGTCTTGCCCAAGGACACAACGCCAGCAGACATCAAGGGGACATGATTTTAGCTATCAGAGGAGAGGTTTAGAACATAAGCATGAGTGTATTGAAGAGGTGGGGGCGACAGTGGCTCCGTTGGAAGATAAATGGCAAAGACCTACTCCAACTTCCCCCACTTATGTCTGCTGCCATTGTGCCCTTGGGCAAGACACTTAACCCCATGCTGCCCGAGGCCCCCCGACCCAGAAATGGATAAATAAAGGGGTTGAAAATGAATGAATGGATGAAAGGTTAATCAGTATAACATATGGACCTGTCTCTTTCACCTGAGCTGCACCCTACAATAAATTAAACATTCATTATCCAGTGTTTATTCAATTATGTGTTCATTTGCAAGGCTAAATGCACAGGTCTTTTTTTAAATGAAGATTTTTCATCAGATCGAGCTGAAATCTGAATTATAAAAGCTAATGAGACAGGTTTTTCAAAGTGAAGCATAATTTAACATGAATTATCACACATGAAATGAAGTGAAAGAAATATTCATTCCTGCCGCATGAGCTGAGCACGTTTAGATATAAAGCTATAAATCAAGAGATCCTTGATTCATCCCACAGAAATTCCAGTGTTGCAGCGCACATGCAGGACTGTAGTTTGAGCACACAGGGAGCACACAAATATACAAAATAAGTGAGTAACTTCTGTTTCTTAACTAGCAGAAAATGCTGTAAATGCTTCACTACCAGTCCTTTTATATCTACCATTACCATTTATATATATATACAACACAGACCAAAAGACTGTAGACCCACACCAGGCTGTGTAAGGGCTGTTTGACCAATAAGGAGAGTGATGGTGCTGGGCCAGATGACATGTCCTCCAGTCACCGGACCTGAACCCAGTCCAGATGGTTTTGGACCTGAACCCAGTCCAGATGGTTTTGGACCTGAACCCAGTCCAGATGGTTTTGGAGTGAGCTGGACCACAGAGTGAAGGTGAAAGGGCCATAAAGTTGCTGAGCATCTCTGGGATCTTGTTATCAAATACAGACCAAACTCTGAGGAATATATATATATATATAGGGTTAACCCTATATATATAGCAAAGTGACCTTGTTCAGTGACATTCTGAAGTTGCAGTATTGCACATGATTGCAGTATTTCCTTATTTCATCGTGGGCTGTGTGTCTGAGGGGAACGAACTGGAATATCGGTCGGTTATCAAGGACTTTGTCGACTGGTGTGAGCGCAACCACTTGTGCTTGAACACCAGTAAGACCAAGGAGATGGTCATCGACTTCAGGAGAAAACCACTTTCCCACACGCTGCTGAACATCCAGGGGGAGGACATTGAGCTGGTGGACAGCTTCAAGTACCTGGGTGTTCACATTAACAATAAACTGGACTGGTCCCATCATACAAACGCCCTGCACAAGAAGGGCCAAAGTCGCCTCTTCCTTCTGAGGAGGCTGAGGTCCTTCTGTGGAGGCTGAGGTCCTTCTGAGGAGGCTGAGGTCCTTCTGAGGGGGCTGAGGTCCTTCTGAGGAGGCTGAGGTCCTTCTGAGGAGGCTGAGGTCCTTCTGAGGAGGCTGAGGTCCTTCTGAGGAGGCTGAGGTCCTTCTGAGGGGGCTGAGGTCCTTCTGAGGAGGCTGAGGTCCTTCTGAGGAGGCTGAGGTCCTTCTGAGGAGGCTGAGGTCCTTCGGAGTGAGCAGGTGTCTGCTCAGGACTTTTTATGACTCTGTGGTAGCTTCTGCCATTTACTACGCTGCCGTGTGCTGGGCCCCGGGCAGCACAGAGCGGGACAGAAACAGACTGAACAAGCTGGTCAGGAGGAGGTGAGGGACAGGAGGCCCCTGGACTCTGTGGAGGAGGTGAGGGACAGGAGGCCCCTGGACTCTGTGGAGGAGGTGAGGGACAGGAGGCCCCTGGACTCTGTGGAGGAGGTGAGGGACAGGAGGCCCCTGGACTCTGTGGAGGAGGTGAGGGACAGGAGGCCCCTGGACTCTGTGGAGGAGGTGAGGGACAGGAGGCCCCTGGACTCTGTGGAGGAGGTGAGGGACAGGAGGCCCCTGGACTCTGTGGAGGAGGTGAGGGACAGGAGGCCCCTGGACTCTGTGGAGGAGGTGAGGGACAGGAGGTGCTAGCCAAAGCCACCTCCATCATGAACAACACCTCCCACTGCACAGGACTGAAGAGGAGCTGAGGAGCTCCTTCAGTGGAAGACTGAGACACCCTCAGTGTAGGAAGGAGCAGGGCCTTTATCCCCACCGCTGTCAGACTGTACAATAAGTCACTTTAAATGATCACTGTGTGAAAACCTGCACTACTATTGACACTGTTTCCAATTGACACTTGTCACTTTTGTTGTACATAATTATTGTCACTTTATTGTACATATATCCTGCATGTAACATGTTTGCACATTTCCTCCCTTTGCACAATCTGAGTGTCCTATCCATGCCAAATGTGACATGTAAATTTCTCCTCTGTGAGATAAATAAAGCAAATCTTATCTTATCTTATCTTTACTGACAAAGGAAATTTACAGGCTCAGCAGTTCTTATTGTACAGTCTGACAGCAGCAGGAAGGAAAGACCTACGGAACCTCTCCTTCACACAGCGAGGGTGAATTAGTCTGTCACTGAAGCTGCTCTCCAGAGCAGAGAGAGTGTCCTGCAGGGGGCGACAGTCATGGTCCAGCATAGATGTTAGTTTGCTCAGGACCCTCCTGTCCCCCACCTGCTGCACTGTGTCCAGGGAACAGCCCAGGACTGAGCTGGACTTCCTGATGTTCCAGCTTCTTCCTGTCCCTCTCTGTGATGCTGCTGTTCCAGCAGACCACACCATACAAGAGGCTCCACCACAGAGTCATAGAAGGTCTTCAGGAGTGGCCCCTGCACTCCAAAAGACCTGAGCCTCCTCAGTAGGTAGAGGCGGCTCTGGCCCTTCTTGAAGAGGGCGTCTGTGTTATGAGTCCAGTCAAGTTTGTGGTTCAGATGAACACCCAGGAACTTGTAAGAGTCCACTCTCTCGATGTCCTTTCCCTGGATGTTCACTGGAGCTGGAGCGGCAGAGTGACGTCT